ATCGCGCAAACTGTTTCGAAAGCGACATGCCATAAGTCAAATGTAAAAAGAGTCCTATATCAGTTGCCCTCGAAATGATTGTTTACTTACAATCTACGTCTCTCTCAAGTTGTTTCTCTGACTAATTTTACTTTTTATATTTTGGTGTGCTTTTGAGTCTCTTTCTATATATATATATGTATCTAAGAAAAATAAAGACTATGTAAAAATTAAATTAGCAGCGAAAATTAATTCCCTTCTGTATACTAAAAATAGTAACCTCTATTTGCACTGCGTCATTTCGAGAAAAATATATCTCATATGACTCTTATATAATTCTGATGATGGTAATGAAACTAAAACTCTAACAGCCAATAGTAATTTTATAGCAGTATTAACAATCCAATCAAAATGCATTGAAAACCAAAACTAACTCAGTCTGAATTACGATTTCACCTTGAACATAACGCACTTGCTTTCTATGCTTTCGCCTAGCTTGGCTGAAGTCTGTCAGCTCCTTCTTTCTTACTACAAATTTATATAAAAAATGTAAACTTTTGGAATAGGCGCAATTAATGTGCCAAGTTGATTGTGGCCGCAACATGTTTACTGAAATAAAAGTTGGATTAAATATACCTTGACTGCCAAATTTCTTATTTCGCGTTTCAGCATTCTACGACATCAAAATTCTCGCTCTTCATTACGGATACAACTGCCGGCGTTCTATTACAGAATCTATTACATGTATTACAGAATCTATTACTGTGTTACATGTATATACCTGTAAAAAAATAAAAAGAAAACAAATAAACATACCAGTTTTTTAGGGATGAATAAAGAAACACCTGTTGAGAACATTCTTCAAATTGTTGACTGTTTTTCAGACCATACATAACGTATCCTGGCAAAATAGGAAGCTTACCACTTCACGAAGCTACTTTTGAAAGTCCAATGACCCAGTGAAATAAATACACAGCTATGTTTTCATGTTGCACAAGTCTTCTTGTAGCTTTAATGTTTGACAAAATAACACCATATAGTTCTTTCAAGTATTTGGCTTTGCCACTTTACTACGGAAAAAGGAATCCTTGAAAAAATATTATAGTGATACGAACCATCATAACAATAGCACTGCCAATGCAATTTCTTTCAGAGCAAAAGGAAAATAAGTGCACATTGCACAATTTGGAAAAAAAAAAATAAAAAGGACAGTTCTATATCTACCGTCCTACTGGACCGATTGACGAAATTCAAATTGCGTTTTTGGTGTCTCGAAAGCGCGGCTTAGGATATATTAGACTTACAGTGGTGGCCAAAATTGTGGACACGTTTGGAAATTTTTATGTTTTTGAACTTTGTATGCTTATAGAAAATGTTACGTTTCGCAAAATGCAAACTTGTATATATCATTTTAAAGAAAATTTATTACTGAATTCAATACAAAACACAAAATTCAATTATTTGTTAATTGAATTTTGTGTTTTGTATTGAATTCAAATTCAATTTGTAATGCAAAAAAGTTATATGTACTTTAATATAAATAAAAAAACACAGTTATGAAGTGGTTTGTAATGCCTAGCTTTCCTGGCCGATCACTGTTCTTGTTCTGAGAACCAATCAAATGTTAGTAACTGCCAGTAGAAGCTGACATCCTGTTTACACTTGAAACAATTCATTATTTTGCTTTGTTCTGTAGAAAGAGGACCTGTTTCTTATACACTGCAATTACAAGTAGGAATTTTTGTAAAAAGTTTTAATATTTAGTCAAGAAGAAATGACATCAAATAAAAGAGTAGATTGGACACCTAGAAAGAGATGTAATATTATTGTGTTACGAGAAAGTGGTCTTTCCTATGCTGAAATTGTAAGACAGGTGGGTTGTTCAGTGACTACATCTGGAGTCCGAAAGTTTTGTTTACGATGTTAGGAGACAAATTCAATAAAAAAAAAGAAGGAAAAGGCCGAAAAAGGTGCACTACATCTATTGATGACAGAAGAATAAAAAGACTATGTCTCCAAGATAGAAAACTGTCATCAGCGGCCATCAGAAGAGATCTGAATGATGCTGATGTTTCTGTCAGTTCAAGAACAATCAGGAGAAGATTAACAGATGTTGGACTGAGAGGTAGAATTCCACGAAAAAAGCTTTATCTTAATTTTCAGCAACGAAAACAAAAGACTACAGTGGGCAAAGGAACACATTAATTGGACAGATGATCAGTGGTCACAAGTTATATGGAGTGATGAAACTAAGATATCGTTATTCGGTAGTGATGGGTGAAAATATGTAAGACGTAGAATAGGAGAAGAGCTACATCCTGACTGCATTCAAGCAACTGTGAAGAACCCAGTTAGTGTTATGATTTGGTCATGCATGTCAGCAGATGGTATTGGTCGCCTTCATGTCATCGATGGCACACTGAATGCCAGAAAATACATTGACACTATTCTAGAACCAAAACTTCTACCTTTTTTTTTTTTTTTTTTTTTTTTTTTTTTTTTTTTCCTTTTTTTTTTTTTTTTTTTTTTTTTGTTTTTTTTTTTTTTTTTTTTTGTTTTTTTTTTTTTTTTTTTTTTTTTTTTTTTTTTTTTTTTTTTTTTTTTTTTTTTTTTTTTTTTTTTTTTTTTTTTTTTTTTTTTTTTTCTTTTTTTTTTTTTTTTTTTTTTTTTTTTTTTTTTTTTTTCCATCAGAGATCTCTTTCCCAACAATGCTTCGTTTATTTTTCAGCAGGATTCTGCTCCTTGCCACACGGCCAAAATATCGAAAGTTTGGTTTCGTACAAAGAGCATTAAATTGTTGTCATGGCCAGCAAACAGTCCTGACTTCAAGCCTATCGAAAATTTGTGGCACCATTTGAAAACTCTTGTCCGAATGAGGCGCTCAAATAAAAGGGAACTAATTGAGGCTATAATTGTTTCCTGGCATCATGTAATAACGAAAGAAGAGCTTAAAACTCTTGTCAGCTCAATGAAACGTCGATGTGAAGCTGTAACTACTAAGTACTGATATCTCACTGCAATCATCACTATCTAATGTATATCGATTACTATTATCGTTTAACTTTTTTTGTATTGCAAATAATTGAATTTTGTGTTTTGTATTGAATTCAGTAATAAATTCACTTTAAATTGATTTATACAAGTTTGCATTTTGTGAAACGTAACGTTTTCTATAAGCATACAAAGTTCAAAAACATAAAAATTTCCAAAAGTGTCCACAATTTTGGCCACCACTGTATATATAGCATTATACTAATATAGGTATTTTGGCATAAAATCGAACTTTTTTGAAATGAGATGCCAAGTTTCATCCACATTTCGGTTCTACAACACAAATTATGCCTAAATATTAAATTTTGTAACATTTGGTGCGAAATTTGCGGAGACATTCAAAAACTTATCTTGCGCATTTTTTTCAGTTTGCGCCACGAATAATTCACTTGACGAACTTAATATATGGCAACCTATTTTCATTTCCATCTTTACATTGTCCATGACTGAAAAAAAAATTCACTTCGTTGCCACTTTTTAATAATTTTAACTAAGTGCCTAAACCACATTTGACATTATTATCGCTTTTTTAACAAATTTACCAAATTTAAAAACGCGCCAGTATATAAATTCAGGTATATATTCGTAACGTTTGAATAAAAAACTCTCATTTTTTGCAGGTATGCACAGAAAGATATCTACTTTAAGATGATGATAAAACTTTTATGGATTATAACTCAAATTCGTTTTCGAAAAACTTATAAAAATTATTTTAAAATACAAATTTTAAGAAATAAATCATAAAAAATGGACGAATTTTATTTGGAATGAACCTAAATTTCGAAATGTGAAAAGAAGAATGAAATAAGTTTAATAAAAGAAGAGAAATTAATAAATATATACCAAATTCAATTAACATAGAAGAGCTAAAATTTTGAGAACTAATTTTTAAAAAACTACTGGTGCGAGTTTTACAAAACTTGGCAGTTTGGCATAATATGCATGGTAGAATCGGAATATGATAAAACATTGGCATGTCATTTCAGAAAAAATCCGATTTTGTGTTCAAACACCTATATTAGAACAATGCTATATATAAATCGAATACGTATCCTAAGTCGCGCTTTCGAGACATGAAAAACGCAATTTGAATTTAGTCAACTGGTAGATATAAAACTTTTTTTTCGCAGTGTACCTTTATCCTCAGGAGAATTGAGCCAAATCAAAAATAAAGTTCATTTTTATTCACATAGTTCACAAGCAAACCTTGACCTCGAGAGTTTTCTTTTCGTTTCCCAATGAAACATTTTATATTCTAAACATTTAATTTCTTCGGGTTTAATTCTTGAACTACCAGACGAATCAAGATTGCTTAGCTTTATAGTTATTTTCATTTTAAATGTTAAGTTGGAATTTGTGTATTAAAATCGGATTCCAGTTTCTTTTTAATCTTACAATGATGTGTTTGGCTGCAGTCTGTAGTTTTCAGATTGAATTCTTTTCAAAGAAGCAAAAGAAATTAGAATTTTTCAAACACCTGAAGGAAAAAACTTATTTTTCAGAAACGAAAAACTATCAAATTCTTCTTACACATTATGAAGAATAAAAAACATGCACATAAAATATTAATTGCTTTGATTTATTGATATTTCTCGCAAATAAGGTTTATATAGTATAAATATTTATAGTTTTCAAAAGAAGTTCATTTTGGATTTTAGAGAGAGACTCTGATTTTTATGCTACTTCATATTTGTTTAATAGTAACTCACACGAAATGGCTTTCCTAAGAACCTAATTACCATATTTTATAAGTGTTACAGTAATGTAAATGACCAGTGAACTTTTTCGAATTCAATTATAATGAATATTTAATTGTTTATGAAGCATTTTTTGAAATTTATATCTTTGTACTTGGAAAAGAATCTATATTTTTATCAATTACATTTCCTATATCTCCTTCTCATTAACAAAACATTAAACAGAAAAACTATGATTTAAAAATTGACACTAGTTTATTATACTTTCTGCAGGTCAAGTTGGCAACGTGATAACTAACAGAAATGCGAGTCGTCTGGAGTTCGAACGTCTCTTGGTATGTATATCCTATAAATAAACAACAGTTTGTTGATGAATTCAAACTTTTTCACTCAAATTTTATTTCGCAAGTATACAAAAAAGAAAGAACATAATAGTAAAGGTTAATAATACTTCTAAGGAAGGAAAGTACTTCGATTTTAAATATCATAATTAAAATCAAAGTTATTTTCTTCTTGATTTTTCTTATTTCACAAATTATGTATGTGCAGTTATTAGGTATTTAAAAGAATTTGCAGTGTATGGTGGATTTAAAAACTAATAAAAACAATCATAACACATAAACAAATTTGCATGATTAATGTTCTTTGATGCCTGTCAAAGAAATTATGAAAGCGAACAACACATATATCCGAAAAGTCTGTATCGCAACGATTGCGTTGGGGTTTAAATAGAAGGAAAGAACTCAAAAGGTTTTGTTCCCCGATAAGCTAGGTGCGGAACAAATTTGAACCTTTTAAATATTTCTTTCTGTAACGACTTAACCCTGTTTTCTCTGGTATCTGTGAAGGAAAGTCTGTATCGAATATCGAACGTCTGTGACCGATGCTACCAATCTGCGCGTCCAAGATGACAAGACTGATCACGGAAGCGGAAGCGTTGGAACGTATTGGAGTTAGTATCTCCTAGACACAGCTCAAGCTACAAAAGGCGCTCTCATAGAAAACTTTTTGGGTAATTCTTTCCAGCTATTTAAAACACAGTGCAATAAACTATTGGTTTTGGATATGTGTATAGTACGTTTTTCTTCCTTCTTTACACCAACACCTTGTGTTACTGATATGGTAATTAAAGTGGCAGAAACACTGGTACAGATGAACCAATGCTGAATTTGCAGTAGTACTACACGTCATCAATAGCTGCTTCCATCAGTGCATATACAATAACAGAAGTTTCTACAACTTTTTCTGTCTTAGAGACAGTCCATTTTCAGGCGATATTTAATGCATTCTAATCATTTGAGTTAGTGAGATGGGTCTTAAAACCTGCGACGTCGACGCGAAACTTTTCACATATGATCATTTTAAAAGGGTACTGTGATAAAAGGGTTTTGGACATCACTTATAACACAAATGTATAGCCATAAAAAGATCCTGCATAAATACGACCTATACCAAATAGCAAAAATCATTTCTCGCCATATGCACTGGCACAAAAGACACTGAACATTAATGCGGTAGCATTAACAAATATTAACGTGAAGACTGTGAAACGTTCATTTCATTATGCGGACTTCAGTGACCGGGAAGCATATTTCACAAGTGCACATTTGCGTAGCCACGGAGGGAGTGGCTTCTAAGATGGACCAATGGACATCCAATATTTCTGTCATGTCACATGACCTTTTAAATTTATTTTATTTTTAAATTTATTTTTAAAAAAATTGTAAAAATGATTAAAGCATCGTCCATTTGTTCTGAAAATTTTCATTGCAAAGTTAGATAAAGTAGGGGCAATTGTGTAGCTTTCACTACCTAGTTGAAAGAATTTGAAATAAATACATAAATATCTGGTCTGGTCTGCAGAGTTATTGCCGAAATATAGCGCTATACGCGATTTGTCCGGCTCATGAAAAATAAAGCACAGTGGGCACTTGGCATTAAGACTTCGTGACAGTTTTATAAAGGTCTGAGGTGGTAACAAGGGGAGACCATGTGTCGCAATACAAACACATGTTGGATACTCCGCAAAAATATCTATATGAAATATTACTTAGTAAGTGGTAAATAAGATGAATAAATAAATATGTGATAAACATGTGTGCCCAAACGCTATCTTTACATAAAACTATGCATATGAGAAAAATATGTATGCCAATTATATATGTTTTTAGAAGGGCAGCACTTTTTATTGTAATCTACACGAAAACGATGTTCTATAACAATAGGCAACGCAGAATTTTATTCAAAGTAAATTTTACTAATTTGCATTCGTATAAATTTAGTGTGTTAAATTTCACATTTAATAACTGCTCACTCTTAAATGTACTGTTTACACAAGAAATACTCATCAAACAGAATGAATATACCTTATTCACAACGAATATATTCAATTTATTCACATGTAACTTTTAACAATGGATATAATCAGATCATACACAATATGTATTCTCAATCTTACACTTTAAAAATCAAAATAATGCAAGCAGCTTAGAAATAATAAAACACCAGCTAAAGTCATTGTAACACTTTCAGTCCTTCTCAGCTCATTAAAAAAAGAAAAACTATACACTTGAATTCTCTTAATCCACAGGTGTTAGTTAAACGCATATATTCGAGGCTAATTGCTGCTCGATCATTTTCTCGATGTAAAGAGCGATAATAGGCCTGAACATCAATTCAAATATTAATGCGTAATAAAAATCGCGTAAGTGAAGTGTCAGCAATTAATTAAACTCATAAAACGAAAGCACTACGAGATTTTTTACTATTGCGACATACATTTGTAACTGCGAAACAAATGCAAATTAAAACGTAAACACCATACCCTTAGCGTCACAAGAGCAATAGTAGCTCATTGGTCCATTTTCGAAACTCCTCCCTCAGTGGCTACGCTGATGTGCACTTGTGAAATATGCAACCGGGAACCAACTGAAGTGCCTCTGGATATTGCAAGACACTGAGCATGCAGCCCATATGAGATCAGAAATTCTGACGCTTAATTACCGGATACGAATAGTCTCATCTGATCAGATGGGACGATCTGTGTGTGAAAATTTTCTAAATCTCTCCATCCTATATGTTAACAGGAAATTATACAAGCTATTATGTATTGTTTAGTTGGTATTCAATAGGACAACAGGTAGTCTCTGACGTATTACTGTTGGCGATTCCCGATGAGTTAGTTAACTTCCCGATGAGTTAACCTTTTCATACCTTAGGTTCACTGTAATAGGAAGATGCACAACTCAGGTTCAGAGACACCACATTTGGGTTAGTTACATTCTTCTGTGTTTAGAATCTTTTCATACTCATGTAAACCACCAGATCTTATCGTTAGAAGAGACCTCTCGGATACCAAGCAGTACGCTGTGGGACACAGAAAGCCTGCATCTTGGAATATAATAAAATTATATACCCCTCTGTGGAAGCAGGGTTCTCAATGCTTACAGAATACTCCCAGTTACTCCCAGAGTAAATTCTTCTGCAGCTCTACGCCGTCGGAAAGTATATATATATATATTACTGGACGCCATAATACAGGATTCCCAATAATCCCTACGCATCTTTCAACTGAAGTGTTTCAGAATTGCAGAAAATGCATTTTATTAACCAGAAGGCTATTGTGAGTGGTCACTTGTCAGGAGAGATTAGATGCTTATTAAACATTGGAAACATGATGCTTCAACGATGCCCTCGCCGAGATTTCAACACTAGACCTCAGATTTTCATCCGTACGGGTTTCCAGTTGCACCATAAAGGCACGCAGCTAAAAACGAAGCAAATTACTTGCAAATTCAAAGCATTTACAACAAATCTACAGGCAACTAACGAAATTAGAATTATCTAGATGCAAATCAGACGAGAATTGCCAATTATAGTACATTTGATTGGTCTTTCCTCAATAAATATCTAATTATGTTACTTCATGAATAAGACTTGAACATTTTCCGTAAGTTATGCATAGATGCTGAACCCTGAATAATGAACGTAATATAGATGTTAAATTAAAACTACTAGCAAAATGTTTTAAATTCCAAAGACTGCGATTTTTCCTGCGATTTTTGAAGTCTTCAAAAGCAGTCTATTTTTTTTTTTTTTATTTGCTGGCAACAATTTGTTTCACTTTTCAAATTGTTGCTAGCAAATATTATCGCCCTGAAATTAAATAATAAAGAATAAGAACAACGGCACCTAGAGCCATCAAAATTTGAATAACGTAATCTTCCATTGAATATGGGCATGTGGAAGCCCTAAATTGAATTTAAAATTTGTTTTATTATCGATTTCATATTTTGTAATACCTCAACGAATTTTTGATTAACAAACTAAATGATTTCAAAGCGAGCAATGGCAACACTACGGGAAAAAAAAATTATATCCAGCGCGCGAGACTCTTTATCGGAAATTCTGAAGATATGATCATTTTAAAATTATTTTGCGACATTGCTGTTGAACTAAATTTTATGGTTTAAATGCGAAGAGCATGATATTTAATAAGTAAAGGTAACACACAAAATGTTAAAAAAAAAACACCCTTTTGGACGTAATTTATAATCCGAAACTATTCAGATTTTTTTTTCTTTTTGTATTAATTTTCTTGTTGTTTTTCTTTGTATTATTTTGTTTTCATATTTTATTCTGCTTAACATTTTTCACATTACAGTTGTTTCATTTAGATCTGAAATCTATTTGCAACGTAAATTTATTTTGTTCTTTTGCAGGACGGAGCTAAACTGTATATGCGCCATCACAAAGTGCCCAGAAACATGCAGCGTCGAGTCCAAAGATGGTACGATTACTCGTGGTCCAGGTATTTTGCTAGTTTATTCTTCAAAAATTACGACGTTTTATTGGATCTGTAATTTAATATTTTTAAGCGATGCCTGTTCTCGGCACAGACAATCAATAAATGGCAGAGTATAGTAAATCTTATTATGATTATCTAAAAGATGGAAAAGAAACCATATTTCTTTCAATGAATAAAATTTTATGCATTGCAATTCAACGTCCCTTGTTGATCAAATCGCATTTCTACTGCTCGGTGAAAAGGATATAAAATTTAGTACTAGCGATGAAACTTAATTTTTTTTAATTAAATAAAATTTGGTAGTTTTTTTTAAAAAAATGCATGACTTGTTTTGCGAGGCGATCTGATACTTGTTCAAAGAAGAAGAATGTTCCATCACTGTAAAATCATTATCATTGTTAAAAACCATTATTTCAGATCTCCCATTTTATCTGTGATTTTAGATTATTTTTGGAAATAATAAAATTTTTTCCATAAATTCAACTCCAGTCTTAAATTAGAACTCAGTCATATAAATTTAATCCTAGAAATCAGCTAGAGAAGTATAAAATGTGACATAAAATACAAATGCAAAATCATAAAAAATCAAAAAATGGATGCGTGACTATTTTCTAAAAGTAATCCATTTAGTTCCATTAATCCTTAGGAATTCAGAAGATTGTAAACGAAATGCACTTGTACTCAGAAGCTATGCAATAAATTCAACTCATTGTTCTACAAGAGAGAAAACTATATACACTAAAACCCAACCAGGTATCAAATCTTCGAGGGCTATTTGCGTAAAACTAGGTCCCTTTCGGAGCAAAAACACATATTTATGAACTTTGTTTGTGCAGTTAGTTATGTCCACGCGATCTTATATTGCAAGCTAGGAGACAATTTAAAGAATGAAAAAAAATCGTTCACGTTTTGCAAGAGTAGAAGTTGAACTACACTGATTTTAGAGTATTAAGTTAGATTTGAAAACTTTGAGTTTCAGCTACAACCCAAAATATTTCTTCCACGTGCATAGGTATTCTGCATACTAAGCTACTGAAGCTACTTAAGCTACTGAAGTTTGGAACTAGCTTTGGATAAACTAAATTTGTTGTGATGTTCGTATACGAATGTCAGATAAACATTATTAATTCTGAATGTTATCCAACGAATCTTCTCTTTACATTCGCATTTTTTATTTTGTTCCGGCAGATTATTCCGGCGTCCCATCCAATTTTGAATGACATAATCCTACAGCGAATATAGGCATCTGGAAGCCCAAATTTGAAATTTGGAAATTGTTTATTATCGATTTCATATTTCACAAAACTTTAACGAAGTTTTAATTAACAAACTTAAGGATTTCAAAGCGAGCAATGGCAAAGCTGTACAGAAAAATCGTTTTTTATCTCCAGCGCGTGAGACTGTATCGGAAATTCTAAAGATATGCTCAATTTAAAATTATTTTGCGATATTGCTTTTTGAACTGAATTTTATCGTTTAAGTGCGAAGAACATGATATTTAATAAATAAAGGTACACACAAAATGTTAACAGAAAACGCCCCTTTGGTTGTAATTTAAAATCTGAAACCTTTCAGATTTTCTTTTTTAGACTATTTTCATTGCGTTTTCAGAAATATATTATTTAAAAATTTTGTGTTTTAAAGGCTCTATTTTATAACCCTTATTCTTCACTATCTTTCTACACAGTAATTTCCAACAAAGTAATAAAGCCTTTTGTAATATCGGAAGAGGTATTTTACCCCATTCCTTTGAAACAGCTTTCCAAAGTCCAAGGAGGGCTGTTGGTCAACGTTTGGATAATATTCTTTCTGAAAGTTCAAAGGCGAATGATAGATTAGATTCTACGAATGATAGATCAGATTTAGTAGAAATACGGATGAAGGGTTTGGCTTTGATACCCATTTCTTGTTCCATTTTCCCATGAAATTAACAGTTGATTTTTAACGTGTAGCTGTTTGCTTTGTCTTGGTGCAGTTCTACTAACTGATTGCACTGTGACTAAAGAGAAGGTATTTAATAATAGAAAGTTAGGTATAAAATGTATTCCTAATAATACGTGGAGTTGATCTTAACATTTTCTCTCCTCTCTTTGTTTTTGATTTTCCGTTACATGAAAAACCAGCAACAATTATAAATCCCTTTGAAAAACGTTCCATATATTCTTTTAACCATGTTTCAAGATTGTTTCTCCTCTTTGATAATAATAAACGGATATCGTTTTATAGCAGTCATTACAATACACCCAAAATTCATTCACTGTGACAATATTTTTCCATTTTTGTCCGGATAAATGTTTCACATTAAAATCTATGCACCACGCTGTGCGTTTGACGATATGCCGTGGAGAAAGACGATGCGCATTATATTTCTTGCGTTTTTAAAATTCAAATCAGCATTAATCACGTTGTTTGCAGTTGACACAGAGCCTTGTAATGATTATGTAATTGTTCTTTGACTTTACAAACTTCTTTTGAACTTTAAAGGATCTTAACTTTGCAACATTCGAAACATTCCGTTTTTTTTTTCCTTGGATAGGTATTTGGAACAATTTTTAAACTTGAAGCCAAACTGACGGTTTTGCCTTTCTTGTTGATAATATTGCCAATCTCTGCTTTAGCTATCAGAAGACCACGGTTTTCACAGCGTTTATTAACAACTAGATACGAATAATTTTCTTTGGAAAGAGCACAAACATAGCCTTCCATCCATTGCTCCTGTAATAGCGCTATTTTGCATGAAAACAAAACTGTCAAGGAGACGATAATTTACACTTGAAAAATGTATTTGCAGTTAAAAAATTCCAAGCAGACGATTTTTTATAGCAAAGTAATATCGTCTCAAAAAATGTGTAAACATCTTGTGTAAGAGAATAAAAAGTAGCAAAAACGAAAATTCTTATTAGCAGTTACTTCTCTTAAATATTTCAGATCAAGAATGAATTTGAAAGCAAACGAGGAACGTTTTTAATTTTCGAATAGCTTTATTAACTTTTCTAAACTTTATTAATAGTTAAAGGGAAATTTTGACAGCAAATGTGAGAGTTTTGAAGTAGTCAGTTTTATAAAAATTGCAATACCTCTAAAAGTATCGAGGCAAAAAAAAAACCGATATGTCCACATAATAAGAAATATTTGTTTATGCAAGCTTACTTTTAAGAATACAGTTATTTCGAAATTTACGAAGCAAACTTTAAAAACTAAAACCAGCTAAAAAAAGTAATCCCTCTTATTGCAAACAGAAATAACACTTCTGTTGCCTTTTTTTGTAAAATAACAGATAATGATACTGATAAAATTCTACAATAGCAATGCAGAAAAAGAATTTTATTATTAGGATTACGTTTAATTTTTAATATAGGTAATGCATTACCGAATACGATATACAAAAATTTCGGTAGCCGAAGTTCATTCTGCATGACGTTAAAATTGCCTTTTATTGATTATATTAATGATATAGATAGTAAAAAACTCTGTCTTCAGTTGTATTAAAATATTATTGATAAGTTCGCATTGTCTCCCAAGAGTCCATTCTGTTAAGACTGTACGTAGATGTATATATAGTGGTAGATGAAAATATTATGTATTAAAATTAAGCAATGCTTGAATAAAGAGAAGGAAAGTGAGCGAAGGTAAACTGAAAACTATTTTAATGGGATTGCGTAAAATCTAAATTTACCTCGTATTTCTGAAATATTGAGAAAACAAACCAGCTGAAAGGATGTGCGTTCCACCTTAAGCTGCAGGAGAGGTTACTTATAATTATGATTTGTTAGTCCAAAGGGGCTTTGTCCCTGAGGAAATTTTGTTTTCGTTTTGCGATTTTGCGTCGAATCACTCTGAACATGCGTTTCTCTCTTCAAACTGTTGCCACCAAATATTATTGCCCTGTATTATATTTGAAGAAATTAAATAACGAAGAATCTGCATAAATGTATGTATGTTTCTCGCATTGTAATAAAACAACGGTACTTACAGACATCAAATTTTGAATGAAATAATCCTACTGAGAATATGGGCATCTGGCCCAAATTTGGAATTTGTTTTATTATCGATTTCATATGTTGTAAAACTTTAACGAATGTTTGAGTAACAAACTCAAGGATTTCAAAGCGTACAATAGCTACGTAGTACAGAAAAAAATTTTTTATCTCCAGCGTGTGAGACTGTGTATCTGAAATTCTAAAGGTAGGCTCAATTTAAAATTATTTTGCGATATTGCTCTCGAACTGAATTTTATGGCTTAAGTGCGAAGAACATGATATTTAATAAATAAAGGTAACCACAAAATGTTAATAAAACGCCTCTTTGTATGTAATTTAAAATTTGATATCTTTTACATTTTTTTATTATAATTTTATTCTCTCTCTCGCTCTCTTTTTTTTTTTTTTTTCTCAAAGCAATTAAGACTGTCGGTGATATTACGGACCCAAATGAAGGTAAAATTTTCTTTAATATAGTATTGTTTTAAATTCTGCATGGAAATCTTAAAAAAATATCCATGCTTTTAAATTTGATAATGTTTGTTGTTATTCATTGTTTTCTTCATTAAAAATTAATCTTGTTTTCTTTTTTTTTTTTTTTTTTTTTTTACTTCTTTTTGTTTTCCTTCATTAAAAAAAATCGAAGATTTTAATTTATAATTTTTAGATGTTTCTGCTCTAATTTCCGCTGCTGAATTTTAATTCTAATTCATTTTAAAATTCTTATAATTAATTTTATTAACATTTATGCTAAAATTTTAAGACAAAATACCCATTAATTGCAAAATAAAAAAATGCTAATTTGTTAAGTGTATAATAAGGAAAATTAATTCTATATTGAAAAATAAGTATTTCTTATATCTTCATTTTAAAATAATTAAACCTTTCTCCTGTAAAACTTTAGGGAAAAGAAGTTCGATCATATATTTGTATCATATATTTGTTCGATTTGTTCGATCATATATTTGTTCGATCATAAAAAGTATGTTTTTTATAGAAAATTTCCGTAAATTGCACCAAATT